GAAAGATGTTGACAGCGCCATCTGGGCTCCAATAAATCTATGGTAATATTACCATTGTGGCTTAATTTCTACCGGCGGGCAACCTGTCACTCACTGTAACCTCGCCCATTCTGTTGCGGCATCATTGGATTCCAAACAGGTCTCACGGCTTATTCCAATGGTTCTTTTAATATTTGACATCTCTGTCACCGTCGTATTCATGGGCGAGTAATAATAAAACGGATCATTGTCACTCAAGCATAGTCGTACCTTTGCCGTAACTTAACTTTTGAAGTAATACAGCATCACTTCTGTCCGTGTGACTGAGGTCATGCTGCCAAACAGCTAATTTTCTCTCGACGCCTCCAAAGGGTACTGACTAACTGGTGCTTGTTAATGTAATAAAGTTCATTTGCATTGGCTCGGTTTGCACCGGTCCTACGTGGTGATGATGAGTTACCGGGTTCGGAGTTACTGTAACCTGCTGAAGCACAGTATCTAACCCGCTTTGCGTTTCAGGTTAACACCCGTGATCTGAAAATTTCCTAGTGGCTTATGAATCGAAATCCTTAGTTATCGTAGACATTTTCCTGCTGTTCCCAGCAGTCGCGAACCAGTACTTTGGAATATGATGGATTGATTCCTTCGTGCTTCCATATTTCCAAGTGAATAATATAGATCAGGCCAACCATGGTGCTATCTGGATCGACGAGCTTCACTGGGACCTGAAACGGAGAATGTCTCCAACGATATCTAAAGTAACCATCACAATGAGTGCTTTTATCCGCGGATTTGGTCGTCTCATCTAAAAGCTAGGGGCGAAGTTTCTGCTTAAACAACCATTAATCATGCAATTTTGTGCGACAGTTTTGGTTGCTGTCTTTTGGCTGCCCATTTCGATTAACAACAGGAGATAGACAAGTTCAAAGTAGAATGGGAAAGATGGTTGATTTCGGCCATATCGCTGCTTTAACTACCGGTTACGATCATCCCGAGGTTCCTAGCCAGGGAGCCTAACAGTACCTGTGATCGAGTTTCCTGGTTATGCCCCCGTGCCAGGTCTTATTTTGATCACCCTTGGCTTTTTCCACCCACTGCCTGCTTCGGCAAACCGCGCGCCTTGTCTACCTATCTATCTAGTGACACGATCCAATCAACGTAATCTATGGAGGTCGACCACTTGCTTCGACGGGCGCCCGCGATTACCTAAAACTGCGTCTATCCTTAGCATATCTTGTCGGGTTGCCCCATCAGAATCGTGCAATGTTGCACATACAGTGATGCTCAAACGCGGATAGTCTCTCGTTTTCTTAATGGCCAAGTTTCTGCACGATGTAAAAATGGAGTTGCCAAATGTTAAACTGTGCAGGAAGCGATTGTGCACATACTAATCGGATATCGCGGTCTGTTTGGGATAAATCATGGTTTTGTCNTTGAAAAGCTTACAGATATTTCGACCCAAAGCAGGTGTTTTGCCTGGGAATTTACAACCGGAGCGTTCGCATTTCTTTTTCATACAATTTGTTTGGTACACAGTCATGAAGACCTACTGTCCACTCATAGAAACAGACGGTTTAAGCCGTGGGAGTGGCGAACCACATAGGGCGTGTTAATG